GATATCCACCTAAACCTCCCTGACTCAGTTCCAGCCATCCCTTGGGTCTGTCACCGATCACAAGAGTAAAGAGATCAGTACCTGCCCCTCTGCTTCCCCTCCCCAAGCCCCTGCTGAGCTCCGCTGTGTCCAATGATGATCTTTTTTCCCCCCCAGGAATGTGTTTCCTGCTGTGAGGGCATGATCTGCAACGTGGAGATCCCAACCAACGACACCAACGCCGTGTTCGCCGTCCTGCCCGCCCGGAGGACGTCGGGTGGCAGCAGGAGGACAGTCAGCATAGCAGTGCTGGTGTCAGCCGTGATGGTCACCCTGTCCTGACCCTGCACCCTCACCACAGGCCTCCTCTGAGGGTCCACAGGCTGTCAGAACTGTCAGGATCTTCAAGGAGAAATCACTGGTAGTTCGTAATTACAGAAAATGCAAGTGCACATCATGGAATCCTTGGATATTTTAAAGAAGATGCTTCACGTGGCCCCCAGCATTTACAAACATTTACAAATATTTGCAAATAAACTCCAGGACAACCCACTTGGACTGAGCAGGAGGGGTGAACTCAAGTCATAATTTACTGGTTTATGATGAAAATGCACATTTTCTTGGCATGTTTTTTGGACAGAGAGAACTGTGACAATCACTTTCCCAGCTGAGATGAAAGGGAACTTTTTATGGGCGATGTGCCAACGTGGAAACTGCTTTTGAACTGCTTATAAAGGACCCAGAGTTTCTTCTCTTGGTCAACAGGTGCATTTAAGCTTGTCTTTAGTCATGGTTTTCATAGAGAACATATATGAGAGGACTTCTTCTGCTTTGATCAGAGCTATAATTCCTCCTGCTAATAATACAAAACGATCCTTTACATCTTGCTTTTCTTCAAAATGTATCACCTTCGGGTTTTGAAACAGTGTGAAGTGATGGAGGATTTCTAAAAATGACCAGAATTCCTGATCCCCCGCCCCCAAGGGATGATTTTCTTGCAATTGAGCATCACCTCAGCTGGATTTTCACCTTTGTGATGTTGGAATCCCACAGCTTTGAAACTGCAGCTACAACCAAGCAGCTTTTTTGTCATAAAAATTGTAAGTGGGCACTTGGTAGAAATAGAGAGAAGTCTCTGTTCTCTCTTGATTTGCAAGAAGTTTCTCCCAGAAATATTATTGCCCTTGGTGGATTTTCTAGCTCAGCACTGTTGGATACTCCAGGCCTCTGGAGATCATCCTGTTTGAAAAGTTTGGGCCAATATTCTGCTTTTCCTGACAATATTCTGGGGTTTAATGTGGTTTATTTGCATAGTTGGACTGTCTGACTCCTTCTCATTTAGGTGGTTGTTCACCTCATTCATCAATTAGATGAACAGCTGCAAATCTGACAAACAGCAGAGTTTAGATGATGCACATTATCATACATTAATTTATTTGAGAAAACTGATTTTTGGGCACTCCATAATGTCTGTATTTCAGCTTGGGTTCACAGGTGTTGGAACTCAAATATGTTCAATTTAATGCATAAATTAGCCACACCTTTTGGAAATTATGTTCCTGTCTATGCACATCCATAACTTTAAATGCCCTTTGAACCTGAAAATAATTCTTGAATAATGGCAAATCCCTCAATTTGTGCAGCTGAGGAAAGAGAAGTGTATTTTTTATGATAAGTAAGTGTAATATGATTTTTTTTATTATTATTTACATTGCACTGAAGAGCCTATAGAAGGTTTATTTTTAAAAGCCTAAATACTGACAAATTCTTCACTATTCAGTGTTGTTTGTGTGATATTTCCTGTCTACTGTGTTACTGGTTTATATCTTCTCCAGAAATGGCACTTTTAATTAAAAATATTCAAATATTTGCTGGTGGAAAACATTTGTGGTGACAAAAATTGCTTGGTAAACTCCTGGCAAAACCTGAGTTTGAATTAAAATCTCTCCTGACCTCAGTATAGTTTAGAATTTCATCTGCTTTGGCTTTTCCCAGTTTTTGGGAATATTTACAGATACCAATCCTCCCTTTTTGGAGGGTGATATATCCTGGTAGAGGCACTCTGTGCCCAGAGACATTAAAAAGGACAAGAAAACTTGATTAATTTGCATTTCTCCAACTTTGATTGCTGGAATCGTTGCTAAAGTGTAGTTTTGTGGTGTTTAAGTGGAAATAAAATTTACTCTTATATTTCATAGCATATCCTGAGTTGGATCCACAAGGATCATCGAAGCAAATCCCATCAAGAGAAGATGAAGGTTTAAAAAGAAAATAAATTAAAAATATGAGTATTTCAGAGCACAAAGCCATTTCTGTAGAGCGGGGAGAGAGAAAGGAATAAATATGTTCAACATTCATAATTATTTTGGAGTATTTCTATTTTGTGGTGATTTGTTAAGGTCATTTTTAGCCTCATCAGTTTTCTGTGTTGAGTTGCTTTTGAAGGAAGGAAAACTCGAGGTTTGATGAGATTTGTGCAAAAAGAAAGGGACTTTTTTTAGCTTTATGGGTGGTTTTGGGGATATTTATTGGGTTTTTTTATTTTATTTTTTTTATTTTTTGGATCCACTATCCCAGGTTATCAGCCTGTATTGGCAGTAAATCAAATTCTTTACAAATGTCTAGTGGAGAACATTATATTAATGAGTTTTCCCTGCAGCAAAGTGGGACATCATTCCTCCAGTCTGGAAAGCAGCCCATGAGAGTTGTCAGTGAGAAGGAATTCCTGGAATTGAGGTTTTTCTCTTTGTTCTTGGGTCAGAATGGAACATCCTGGGGTTTATTTGGGTTTTTTGGCAGTTGGTTTCTTGGTCTTTGGGGCTGGTTTGTTTTTGGAGGGGGTTCTGGAAAGAGTTTTTGAAGGGTTTTGTGGTTTTTTTTTTATGAGTGTTTTTTCTTTTGTTTGTTTTTTGTTTGTTTTTTGAAAGGATTATTTTGCATTGATGGAGAAAGTGGGACATGAATTGAAAGAGCTGAGAGAAACTGTTGCAGGTTCTGCTCCTGTGAATGGTTCACTTCCATCTTGTCAAATAATGTTGGGATTTATTCGGGACAAGAAGAAGTGGGAAGAGCAAACCTGCATTCCATAGTTGTCATCTCTGTGGAAGTAAAGTTTTGGAGCATGTCAGAGAATCCCAGAATGGTTTGGGTTGGAAGGGACCTTAAAGCTCTTATTTATGTGTGTTTTATACACATATATGTGTATAATATACATATATATGTGTATATCTATCATTCTGTAATGGCTGGATTTTACCTAAATGGAATTATCTGATGCTTATGAATTTAAGGGGATTTTAATATTACTTTAAGTCCATATATGAAGAGTTAGTAAAATTAAAAGTAATTAGATGAAAAGTAATGAAAACAGATTAAAAGAACCTGGTGAATACTTGATTACAGTTTTCATTTATCAGTGAGAGATCTGTCCCTCTCTCTGTGACTTCCTTCAGTCCAGAAAATTCAGAAATTCAGAAAATGCTTTGACTAATCCAAGTTTAAATGTTTCTCTTAAACCTAATGTGGCTTCAGCCCTAAATGTCAAAAAATCAGTGATTTGGCTGAGTGACATTTGACTGCCGATGTATTCCTTTCTGTTTGTGCATTATTTCTGTTCCTGAGCTATAAATAAGTGTTCCACTCACACACATAAAGCATGTCAAGTAATCCCAGACCTGCTCTGGACACTCAGTGATCCTCCTTCTCTTCATATGGACTATTAATATTTCCTAATAACTGAAGGTTCTAAATCACATCTGTCCATCCCTGAGTCTCAGGGTTTTCAGCAGCTGAAATGTTAAATTTTGAAGGTTTCATTTGTAACATTTCCCCAATGGAATATCCTAGAATTTCATATATAATGATCCCAGAATGGTTTGGGCTAAAAGGGACCTTAAAGCTCATCAGCATAAAGGTTGTTGTGGGGACTGTGGTGTTTGGTGAGGTCAGTATTCCATGGAGGGACAGGACACAGGGAATGGCTTCCCATTGCCAGATGGTTAGATGGGATATTGGGAAGGAATTCCTGGCTGGGAGGGTGGGGAGGCCCTGGCACAGGTTGCCCAGAGAAGCTGTGGCTGCCCCTGGATCCCTGAAAATGTCCAAGGCCAGGTTGGACAGGGCTTGGAGCAACCTGGGCTAGTGGAAGGTGTCCTGCCCATGGCAGGGGTGGGACTGGATGAGCTTCAAGTTCCCTTCCAACCCAAACCATTCTGGGATTCTTTTTTTTGCATCATAAAGTGTCAAACATCACCCTGAGCCTGATCATCTCCTGGATCATCAGGAGAGCTGGCAAGGCCCTTCATTGGGGAGCTTTGTTTCGCTGCCTCCCTCACTGAAAAACAACCTAAAATAAATGTGGGAAACAGGGGAAATCCTGCAGAAACAGGAGGATTAGGAGAGTGAAAGAATCAGGAGAGGATGAGCAAGGAAAGGTGGTGGGACAGCAGCGTCTGAGCTGTCCCTGCACAGCCTGGGGAGGGGGTGGGTGGCCACACTCTTTGGAAAAACCAATTAGAGAGAATTCCAAGAGTCGATGTGGGGGAGGGAAGGCAAAACACGGTGGCAGCGTGAGGGAACTTGACTTCTGGAAGTGCTCCTTCCAGGAGGATGAAAGCGCGGTGGCGATTCCGGAAATCGCCGCAGCGATTCATCTCTAACTGCAGGGTGGGGGCTGGATTGGAAACCTGAAACCTTTTTTTTTTTGGCTGGGCCAGAGAGAGAAGATCCGTGGGGAGGTAGGAGTTTGTACATCCCAGTTGTGACAGTGGATGCAGTGACACTGGGTGTTGGACTCAGAGGAGCTGAGTGTGGTTGGCGATGCTTCCGGAGACACCCGGATTCCAGAAAATAAGTTATCCAGAGGAAAATCCTGCCCTCCACGAGAACATTGGCACTGCACAGGTATCAGGACTATTTTCCATCTGTCATCAGAGCATCCCAAACCAGTCATTATGCCTGAGATTCCCTGCAACTGCTGCGGAATTTGCTGTCCTGAGGCGAGGAATTTCGGAGCTCCCTGACCTGACCTCCAGCCCTGGCTGCCGTTAAATCCTGTAAATCTCTCAGGTATGAAAATCCAGCACGGGGAGGTGATTTTGGAGATAGTAAAAGTGACTGAATCGCAGTGGGTTTGGGGTTTTTTTTTTCTTTGTTGTCTTATTTTTGACCAAAAAAAAGATGGGGAGTAAACCTTTGGAGTAAACCTTTGGAGAAGGATCTTAGGGGTATAGATAAAAGAACGATCAGATGGATAAAAGTGATTGATGGATTCAAAAACTGATATACTAATTTAATTTTTCCAGGCGTTTTATAATTGAGATGAAAAGGTTCTGATGTATTTAGATTAATTGAAAAAGTCCCTGATCAGAGATGGAAAATAAAGGTACAAATGTCTCTGCAGGTTGAGGTGCTCTTATGCCTCTGCTCTCCTCTCCCTGGATTTGGGGAGGGGGGAGCAAAACCTGTTTGGCCTTAAGGTCCATCAAGAACTTGCTCCCTTTCATCTTCCAGAAGGCATTTAGGTGCTGCTTTAAATCATGGAATCAAGAGGTTTGGGTTGGAAGGGACCTTAAGGATCACCTTATTTGAACCACCCCAACATGGGCAGGGACAACTTCCACTATCCCAGGTTGCTCCAAGCTCCATCCAACCTGGCCTTGGACACTGCCAGGGATGGAACAGCCACAGCTTCTCTGGGCAACCTGTTGACATAATAATTATCAACTATTTATTTAATGTTTAATTTAGTGTTAATCTTCACCTGCATGCTCAGCCCTGAGTCTGTTGGAAGCACATCTCCAACACTTCCCCCACAACATCTTCCTCTCCAACAGCTTGGAGCAGCCTCTTTTTACCGTGTCCCAAACTGCCTCAGGTGGTTTGGAGACCTGTTATTAATCTTTCCTCGGAGAAGCAGCTTCCCTTAATAGCTGAAATGGAGCCTAAATACCATCCAGGGTATCTCTTGCTCATCTGACCTGTCTGTGCTGTTTGTTGCCTCACCCCAGACCATCCCACCACCACCCCACGTGCTGATGTCGGGCTGATAAAGGCTCCAGAACTGGCAAAGAGACACAAAGTCTTCATTTTGTACCTCATTTTCATGTGCTGAGGGATAATTTCTACTTTTTATCATTTTTTTCCCTTGTGATGAACCTTGCAGGAACCTTTGAAACCCACCAGAAACGTTTTAGGGTGTGACTTCTGGGCTCTGTGGGCTCTTATTTCCCCTACATCACAGGCCATATATGACAACAAGAATCGTGGCACACGTGGGTTTTATTCTGCTTTTTTTTTTTCCTGGCCAAAAGCTGGAGGCAAAACATCCATCAAGAAGGGAAGAATTTATGTGGGGCCTTAGGCTAAAAACTCTCAGGTTTCCTTCTCATTTGCAAAGTGAAGCAAAAAGATCCATCTGACAAAAAAAAAAAAACCAACACCCAAACTTCAGAAAATAAACTGTGGGTGAGTGTTGTGCAAGAAAATTGCTTTGTAGGCAAAAAAAATTCCACTTTTGGTTTATTCTCATGACTTGCTTTGGTTTTTACAGGAAGTACCTCCACGGGTAAAATAATATGTTAAAACAATGATTTTTGTATCCCATTTGTTTCTGCAAACTGCAAGTTTTATTTTAGATTTATTTTTCGTACCACTGCCTCTTATGAGATTTTGTTAGTTATTTATTTGTCCCTTTAGCCAGATTACACAATATACCTGTACCAGAGGTAATTTGATATACAGTAATTTAATATATACAATAATTTAATATATACAATTTTATATAGCCTTGTCTGACACTGATGCCCTCCAGAACAAGCTGTTTAAACCCCTGATACTTCCTAGGATTAACCAGTAATTAGTCCTCTGAAAAAGCTTTGCTCATCCCAAAGATTTGGGGGAAAAAATACAGATATTAGTGTGTTTTAAATGTTTGAGTAATTCTAATTATTCTCCTGCAGTTCCACCACGTAATTCTCTCTATGTTTGGCCTCCTGTAAAATACATATTTATTGTGTCAGAGGGGTGCTGGGGGTGCATTAGAAGGCACTGAGCCTGGTTTAATTAACAATTAAATGTTCCTCTAATTTTAAGTTATCAATGTTAACAATGTTTAAAAGGTTAATAAATGATAATGTCAAAATGTTGTTAATATATATAATATTATACACCATATCAAAGTATATATAATTACATATAAATATATATGTATAAGTATATACATATATACATATATGTATACATATAAATATATACATATAGAATTACTTATAAAGTAATAATAAGAATAAATAAATAAATAAATAAATATGTTAAAATTTGCAATAAATGTTAATGTAATTAAACCAGGGGCTACAATAATCTAGACATGTTTGGCATCCCAGGCAGTTTTGTGTAACCCTGAAATGAGGCTTCTCATGCCATCATAAATTTAATTTCTGGGACACTGAAGGACCAAAATGTCCTTTTCAAACTGGAGAAGGGAGGGGGTGGCCAAAGTTCTTCTCCCTTTTAGTATCAAACAGGCTCCTCAGGGTCAGATTTTGAAGCTGCTACTTCAAAATACTTTTAAGAGTATGTTACAATACCCTTCAGAACCTGCCCCCAAAAATTATCCAAGCCAACTTTTCCAGCCTGGTAAATCAACGAGCGAAGCTTGAAAGTCTTACCCAGAGAGAACAAAAAAAAAAAAAAAAAAAAAAAAAAAAATCCAAATAATTTCTATTACAGGGAAGATCCCTGTGGTTTTATTGCTGCCAGGGGTGCATTAAGGAGCAGATTTTTGAGAGGTTGAAGCATCTGACTAATCCTGGCTGGATTCAAAGGGAAGGACCAGCAGGAACACGCTTTTCTCAACTCAAATAAAGCCAGAGCAATTTGTCTCAGGTGAAAAGCAGCTTTGCTGGGTTTTTTGTGCCCCTCCCTCCCATGAGCTGCTCGTCACCGGCCTTAAAGCAGGAACAGGAGTTTCACCCAAAAAATCCATAAAAACTGCTGGCAGGGATCTCTCACAGGCTTATTTTTAATTTATTCTTCTTTTTTTTTCTGTTCTGGGTGTTTTAA